TTTTTATTTCTATTTGGAGTACACAGCGGCACATAGATCCCTACGTGAGTTTGATGATTGGGCATTGACAACGGCACAGAATAGGACGTAGCGATCGAGGGCCTGTGTGATGTGAAACCGCGAAATTTGAGATGACCAGCATTCCCAAGTTGGCATCTACGCGGTTGACACTACAATTTACTCCTGCCTCAAAAACAAATCTAATGTCGCTGACAAAACTCACCTGGCCGTGCGTCTCGAAAAGGACCTCCAATCGGTTGCGAACTGGGGCAGGAATTGGCTGGTCAACTTTAATGTCTCAAAAACAAAACTGCTCTCTATTAATCACCACAGAGATCCTTCCCTGCCCCCCATTAGAATGCCTGATAGTCAACTTCTCGAGAGCAACTCTCTGCGGATGCTCGGTCTCACGTTGACTGCTGACCTGAGATGGAACAAATTCATTGAGTCACTTGCTTCGTCCACCGCAAGGAAAGTTGTCTCCCTGTGCCACGCCAGGAAATTTTTCTCCCCGGAATCGATGCTTCAGATCTACAAATCAACAATTCGCCCTTGCATGGAGTATTGCTGCCATATATGGTCTGGAGCCCCTTCTGTTTGCCTCGGGGTTCTTGATAAGATCCAGAGGCGGATATGCAATATAATTGGCCCTGATCTGGCATCTCGTCTACAGTTGCTCTCTCACAGACGCGCCGTCGCCTTTCTCTGTCTTTTTTATAAATACTTTCATGGTTTTTGCTCCGAGGAGCTGCATTCGCTGGTTCCCAGACTTCATGAGTTCAAGCGCCCTACGAGACTGGCATCCCGCTCTCACCCTTTCACTGTCGAAACTACTAAATGTAGCCGTCTCTTCTACTCCAATAGCTTCATGTCTCGCACCTCTCGCCTGTGGAACTCCCTTCCCTATTCCAGTTTCTCTGAGAGCTATAATCTTCAACTTTTCAAATGTAATGTCAATCGACATCTCCAGTTGTCTTGATCTATCCACTATCCTTCTCCTCATCCTTTCCTCTATCACTCCAAGAGATGCATCAGTACAATAATCCATTTCAAAATAATCCATTTCAAAATAATCCATTTCAAAATAATCCGGCAGCCGGTTCATAGTTCTCTACTCTCGAACATCACCTACTATATATATTTTTTAAAAAATTTTTACTGACTTTTTAACGCAATATTTAATTTTTGGAGGAAGTGTCTTCCCTGATAAAAGATTCATTGATTTGTTTTCTAAGGCTTAGCAACCCTCTTCAGGTTATTTAAAGTCAGAAAATATTTTCAGATTGTAAGAATTTATGATGGCGGGGTAGATAATAATTGTAATACTGATACTTAATTAATCCATAGGTAGAGGGAGAAGTGGATTCATAACTTTCTAAATGGTATTTTGCGTGTAAGAGAATATAATGCCTCCAACAGGAATTGGAACTCGGCTCTCCGATTAACAATTCCGAGCAATTATCCATTACACCACCTGCACATCCAAGCTTACAGCGCCTGGTATTTCTAATCAGTCACCCATCTAGGTGGTGACCAGGCTTGATGTTGCTTAACTTCAGTAATCGTACAGGAACCGGCGTTTCAACGTTAGTTTTGTGCAGCATGCAAGCAAAAAATATCACATTTTATTTAACAGACATTTTTTTAATTAATTTACCCCAAAGGCGATTATGGGTACTAAGACGCAAAAGCGGGTACTGGGAATGAAAGAAGACTTTAGAAGGATCCGGAAACCAAATCATTAGCAGGAAACAAGAGATAAACCTCTAATCCAGTTCAAAAGAGGGGAGGAGGTGAACCGGACGATACGCGAAACCATAAAAAGAATTGGAATGAAAGCAGTGATGGCGCTTACCTTGAATTCATCAGAAACATTTAGAATTTAATAAATAGTAAACATTTCAAATATTTTAATGTAATGTTTTTCAAGCTGTTTTTTTATTTTTTATTTTTTTTATCTCAGGGTACACTCGAACCAATAGTTAAACTTCCGCGGCACATTTAAATTATGATGATCAAAAAAATAAAAAATAAAAAAGTGAAAAAAAGTATGTTTTTTGAAAAAACTCTTAAATCTTCTTACAGGAATTCTAGTTGTAATCGATTTTGGTTTAAAATATTATTTATTGCAGAAAACTTTGCTTTTTATATTATTTTATAGATTATGTATACTTTTGTGATGTCAACGAACACTCGTTGCCACTTTTGTGATGTCAACGAATACTTGTAGTCACTTCTGTAAAGCGCGTTGTAGTAGAGACTTTGTAATCGCAGATATAACTATAGTAACGCCGTTGAACAATACTGGTGTCAGACGCCTTTGAATAACACTCGCACTAATAGTACTTGTTCGATAATACTCGCTCAAATAGTAATCCGTGTAGTGATCCGAATAGAGAAATAGTATAGTGAATAGAGTAAAGAATTGCGGTCCGCATAGTGATAGAGTAGAAATACAGATCCGAATAGTGATAGATTAGAATGATGATCAAACTAGATGTCACGTAACTTCCTATATATGGGTTTCCTCTATGGTCACGTGATCCACTTAATAATAGGATCGCTTGTGTTTGTTCACTGGCGATCTATGTTCAAACTCAAGTGTCAGCAGCGACACTTTATTCCTATATAACACATACGTTTATTTATTATAACAACAACATACACGTATAATTAATTTAAATGGGTTTTAATTTTGATAAGTACACTTATTGGCCATTAAAAATGTTCGCGGCACACCTACGAGACACTCACCATTCACCAGTGTGTCGCGGCACACCGGTTGAAAATCCCTGTATTAGTGAATTGGTCAGTTATAAGACATAAAGTATCGGAGATAAGGAAATTGAACATAGGCTTTGATTGAAGTTGATTTGTTCAACACTGCAAAACTAAAATATTAACCTAAAAATTGGTTATGTTCTGAAATAGCCTTGTTCGATTTGCTCTCATGCATGGTGTCAAACATGCTAAGAAATAAACTATAATTTAGGCACCATGGAGTAATGGATAGCGGCTCGGATTGGAGAATTGGAGAGCTGAGTTCGAATTCCAGTGAAGTTCGTTACATTGACCTACATGCGAATATCCTTTGGAAAGACATGAACCCACTTCTTCACCCTTCAGTTATAGGTGAATAGCAGGACAGACAGGATCCTAGAGGCTTGGTTGGCAATCGTTTTAAGAGAAAGAAAACTCTGAATTCAAAACCTGATTAAACCAGACCCTGGTCTGGTGAGGAGGGTAGTTGGAACCTGACCAAACAAAAAGAAGCGTTCTTAAAGGGTGGATGAACTCCTCAGAGTCATCAGCCACCCAACCCCAGCTACGAGTTAAATACCCTAACCAATTAGCAATTGTCAGTGTAACCTAAGCAGGACAAGAGCTGTTAAAGGGAGGATTTTCATGTTATATGTTTCATGCTATATGCAATCGTCAGGCCTGACGATAGCATGAAACAGACTGTCGCCTCTAAGTGTTGACTTCTATGTTCACTTTTATATTTACACACGCTCTATCTCTGATATTGAGCACTTTATCCCATAAATATAGCACACCTTAAGACTATTAGCAAGAGAACGTTGGGGCAATATTCTTATATTACTCAATGATTATCTTCCTTAAAGTGGCAAATCCTTTTATAACGTGCGTGATAATGGCTCTCCACAACTTCCTGTCGTTTGTTGTTCTAAGTATCTTTTGTACCTTTAACACCCCTCTTTGTCTCTGTTTTATTATCCATCCACCCAAACTTGTTAGTAAGTTGTTTTCTTCGGCTTCTCGTAACCTTTGCTATGTCCTGTTAGTGACAAATTCTCTAGGCCTTTTTTCCTCATTATGTATTCCGGAATCTTCATTTGATTCTTTCTGATTATAAATATAATTTTCATTGTTGTTCCTATTTTCTTTAATACTTTCTGGTTTTGCTCACAGGTTCTATCTTTCACATTATCACTATCCGCCGGCAGAAACACATTTTTATCATTCAATGCATCTTGAGCGTTTTATTGGGAGAACAGTAAAATAAATAAATAATTTAAGGAAACCGGAAACACATCGTCCGGAATTCGTACTGAAGACAAATAAAAATAAGAACTTTTGTTCTTATAATTAAAACAATAAGGAAACACTTCGCACACTCGTCGGTCTAACGGATGAAAATTGGCGGTACCTCCAAAATGTAGGCATCTTTGTCTCAAGTCATAATGGAGAGTTCTAAAACTACCTGGCTGGCGAGGCTTGTTAGCACTAACAGTGAACAATACGAAACAACTTTTTTCTTCTTTAATAGAGAAAAAACTTACTGTCTTCTTTTTTAATTGATATCCATACAGCCTAGCATCTTTTAGCGCGCAAACGGGAGTCGGCGATCCGAGTTCAAGTCCTGGCCTATCGTGCTGTACTTACTTTCGCAAAAATACCCTTAAGAAATGCGTGAGTTCATCTCTTCTCTTTCAGGAGCTATAGGCTAAATAGCAGGGTAGACTGAGTCTTCCAACCTTGGTTGGCAGGCTGTATGGATGGATTTCAAACCCTGAAGAAAACAACGGAAAAGCACTCCACCATCTTTACCAAAAAGCCATGGCTATTCATGAATGATAAAGAAATAAAGAATCTGTTGAGAGCCATGATCGCCAACGTCCTGAAGAGACAGGGAGTTAAAAAGAGAAAGAAAAGAAAAGAAAAAAAAAAACAACAACAACAGGAGCGGCATATCTTCTCAACTTGCTTCTCGCCAATCTCTTCAAAAGCATTCCTGACCCTTCGTAACGTTCCCTCCACATCCAGCGTACTAACATACACACTGTCCAATAACTGTTCGAAATCCTGTTTTTTTTTTGTTTTTTTCGTCTTTTTTTTTTGTAAACCTGACACTGGTTCGGTATCTTGTTACAGGACGACCCCTGACTGCGCATGGAATAAAAGAACGGCTTCGTTGGCCGTCAAGATTTCCTCGGCGAGACTAACGCCAGTTACCACATCTCAAACACTAGCGGTGTTCATTCTGATTGTGTCCATTGCAAGAAGACACCATCAAGAAAGGATTGGATGTCCTTGGCTCTGCATCTGCGGATTTGTAGATAGGAAGGCCAGGAATGATAAGCAGCGGTTTGGGAATGGGCAAGATGGTGGGAGAAGAAAGATAACGCCGAAGCGGGAAGTTGGAGACGGGTTAGCATAGGGAGGGGGATAGTGGGTGAGAAAGGAGGGAGAGAGAGAGAGAGAGAGAGAGAGAGAGAGAGAGAGAGGGAGAGAGAAGCGTATATGTTCGAAAAGAAATAAGAGCATAAAAAGAGAAAAAGAAAGAGGAATAAAGAAAGGCAACACGGGAAACGCTGAAAAGAGATTTGGATACGAAATGAGAAGCGAAAGAGAAAAAAACTATCAGAGAGGAAGTACTATGAGGGGGTGAAGGGGGGGAGTTTAGAGGGAGAAAGTAAAAAAGGAAAAGCGACAAGAAGGAAGAGAAAAGGAGAATCTGAGAAGGAAAGAAAAATAAAAGAGTTGTTTTCTTATGTATGCGCGGGTGAAAGAAAGAAAGAAAGAAAGAGAGAGAAAGAGAGAAAGAGAGAGCGAAATATATATATATATATATATAGAGAGAGAGAGAGAGAGAAAAGAAAGCTATGAAGAAAGACGTGTTCATTGTGAATACATAATTATACTACAGATGTACGTGAATTAAAAATATGGATTAAATTCGAGACAAAGATTAAATAAAGATCAAATAAGAAATCCTCACAAATTTAACGTTTCGGTATTTATATAGCTTCATCAGAGATTTTCGGCGTGGAATACTCCGGAGGTATATGTTATTTTTTTAAAAATTCTACATTGTTTTGCTTTCACTGGTAATGTAGATGTACCCGTCATTTGTATATATTATGGCGTTAGTGTTTATGTATGTATCAGTTTTTAAATTGTAAATTTTTGCTTTCATTGGTTGTGTTTATTTTATTTTTTAAAATGTTAGCGTAGTTTAAGTGTGTATTAAATTTTTAGTATATCGATATCAGAGATTTGAGGGTTTTGCTTAAATGTATACGTGTTATTAGAAAAGACACATCGAGTTCAAATCGCGTTCATGATTAAATTGCTCTTTTCAAGGCTTTTATAAAAAGAGTTTAATGCTGCGGATATCATGGACTGAGCGTGGGAGCAACGATGAGGCCTTGGAAAGGATGCAAACAAGGAGGAAGCTTTATACTTAACATAAAGAAGAGACAGATGAAATCTCTGGGACACGAAATGAGAAAGGAGGGTCTGGAGAATCTGATACTCACGTGTTGAATAGAGGGAGAAATAGATAAGGGAAAGCAACGCATGACATACCTGGCGGGCTTAAGCAAGTGGATGGCAGAACGTGACCTGGGGGAGTTGGCAGAGGCACGAAACATTGAGAGCTACAAGGGATAGGGGGAATGGGAGAGCCATGATCGCCTACGCCCTGAAAGGACACGGCACATAAAAAGAAAACAACAAATCCAGTTCAGCCCAACAGACAGGCTCAACGAGAAAGTAGGATGAGTAGCCATTGCACTGAGGTGAGTATAAACTCGATCTCTGTAAACTCGGAGATGTGTTGAGGCAACTTTGTTTTAATCATTTCACCCTAAGCAGGGCAATAAAACCACCAAGATGCAGCTGGGTGTGGTCGGGTTATTGACTGTGAAGGAATATAAGAAAATGAAAAAAAACCTTATTAATGGGCAAAAACAATAAAAGAACAGAAATTTAAAAGACAGAAGATAACGATTGACATTGCATTTTAATTTTTGAACATCAGACTTGGTTGGAAAGGAAGAAGTCGGAGGGAGGAGAGTTCCACATGAGAGAAATGCAATAGAAGAAACTGTTAGCATAGAACTTACGGTTACATTTCAGCTGTAAAATGATGAGACCTTATCGCCAGTTTAGTATTGCGCTTATATCCAAAGAATCTAACAAGCATAGAGGAAATTTCACCAGAACAATTATTATAAAATTATTTATAGAAAAGGCACAATTATTATAAAAGTATTTATAGAAAAGGCACAATTATTATAAAAGTATTTATAGAAAAGGCACAAGGAATCTACCTTACGGCGTTGGGAAATTAACTGAAAGCGAGATGCTTGTTCAGGACCAATTTCATTGCTGGTTCTTCTTTGGATTTTATCAAGGATTTCTATATATATAGCAAGAGCACGAAACCATATGTGACAGCAATATTCAAAGCATGGACGTATGGTAGACTTATACATATGTAAGATAGATTCTGACAAGAAAAATTGTCTAGCAACTTTCCTAGCAACAGGTCTAGCAATTGATTCTATATAATCTTTCCACTTTATGTCAACGGAAAACGTTAACCCGAGAAGGTGCATTGTATAGCTCTCCTGGAGGTTAGCATCAACCATGCAGATGGGAAACAGAAAATGTTCTCGCAGACATTTAACAGAGAGCTGTTTCATTTTAGGGGCGTTAAAATTAACAAGTCATTCCTTTCCCCAGTTAACAATCAAATGTAGATATATTTTTTTTTGAAATCAGCTGCCAATTTGTCCGATGAGACTTACTATTTAAATATCCAAAACATTCCTTCGGATGCATTATGTCTAATATTGTACAAATAAAAAAAAATATTCTCCCTCTTCTCAATATATGGATTCCAGAAAACAAGGATCCCGCTGTCACTCGGAATGTAAGCGATAATGACTCTCCACAACTTCCGGGTTTTTGATTCTAAGTAACATTTGGATACTTTACTATCCTCCTCATCTTGTAATCCATTTGGATAAACTTGTTATGTGCGTCTTTAGGACTTGGGTGATCATGGCTCTCCATAACTTGCTATCTTTTGTTGTGCTAAGTAACTTTTGACATTTTATCAACTCTGACCTTGTCCTGTGATTCACTCACACAGACTCGGTAAGTAGATCCTTAATTTTCATTTCACAAAATATCTCACCAGTCGCACGAAGAGAAAGATATTTCTGATGAGATATCTCGTTAGCCGCACGAGAGGAAAAGAAAAAAAATCTCGCGTGATATCTCGTAGGTTGCATTTTGTTAAGCAAAAACAATGTTTATTCTTACTCTATTTCTTTTTTTTTTTTCATTCGTAAAGAAATTTTCTCAAAACGAATTGTTATTGTTAATGGTCACCATAACTTCAGGCATGAACCTTACGGTTACTTTACAAATGCTTCCCTCTCTATCTCAGAAACTCTGTTGACATATGTAGCTTGAAGGTTTCGCTGAAGTTATAAGTAAGCAAATGCATCGGACCTGAGAAGATTATGAGTCAGTGATTGTTAACAGAGTAAGTGCCATAAATCTGAAACGTTGGATCAAAACCGACATCCCTTTCACTTTCACTTTCAGTATTGACAGCCTACATGTCTTATTGCTTGTTTTTCATTGAGTCATTTAGACTCATACTTACACGTCACTTGTTACTGAATCTGAAACATTCCCTCTTTCAGGCTCCAACTCTGCTTTTTTAAGCAAAATCGAGTTGCAAAGGGCGTTAACTGTTGCAGATTTTACGAGTCGCCGATACAGTTTGTTGGCCGTGATTTAAATAATGACTATATCATTGGGGTAGAGGCACAGTGGAGTAATGGATAGCGGCTCAGGTTGAGGAATCGGAGAGCCGAGTTCGAATCCTAGTCAAATCCATTACATTCACTAACGTGCTAATACTGTGCCGGGATATGAATCTTCTTCTTCTCCCTCAGCTATGGGTAAATAGCAGGACCACCTATAGCTTTGGATGGCAAGAAAGAACTAACGCAGAAAGAAATGGCAACCTCGTCAGTCATGTATCGAAAGATACATGATCGCCTGAATGTTTATCCCTGATTGATATAATCGGGAATAAAACATCAATCAATGTAAAACCTATTTATGGGAGCTGAAATCAAAATTATCCAAAGTCCAGTGCCAATAAGATGTCCCTTAAGCAGTCCTTAGAATTCTTGCATCACGCCAAATAGGGAAGTGAACCATTTGATACTACACGCATCTTCACATGCGGGGTTCCATGTTAATTGCGATCTTATGTCGAATCAAATGTAGAAAAGAGCCTCAAATTTACCGCCCCTCATCAGTAAGATTTACAGCGGAGATATGCTGGCAAGAACTGTTTGTAATGTTTGTTTAAGTGTTATTAAAACAGTCGTGTCTGTCGGCGACAAGAGATAAACAGTGGGTTCGGAGGTATGTACACTGCTGCTTACAGAACGGATAGCAGAAAGCCTGGCGCTTCTATCCCTGCATAAAAGACTTGCTTGTATGGCATCGTTGCATTTTACTACTGTTTCGAAATTTTCTTTCCTCCCGCAGAGATCGGCCGCCATGATTCCCGGTGTCAAGTGAAAGCGTGAACTTTCCTCGCCTTGGTTTGTATGAACAGTCATTAGAAACCGGAAGAAAAGAGTTTACAGAAACATCTCACATGTTAAGTTCTCCCTGGTAGGTAGATGCCACACACACAGATGCGCACAGCGCAACTGAAACTCGGGTACCAATCTTCCATTTTGCTCTAATTATTTCTTTAAAAATATATAAACAAGGTAGCATAAACTGTCTTTTTTCTCTGTAAGCCTTCTATCTCGAGTGGCTCCAGGGACTTGTAAAGGATGAACCCCATTGTAAAAAACAAACTATAAAGTCACACACACACACACACACACACACACACACACACACACACACACACACACACACACACACAAAGAGATTACACTTCCAATGTTCGTAGTATTTAATTTAAAAGAGGGCTAGTAGAGCAATATTATTTATTTTAGGATATTACATCAAAAACTCGCCAGTAATTTACAATTGCCTGAGGAGACGCATTGTCATGCGGTGAAACACAACTGCAATTGTGTAGCGATTCTTACACGTTTTTGTTGTAATATCCTATTATATATATATATCTGAACATACACAGAACACACACAATCTACTAAGCTGATAATCGAATCATCCTTGATAATGGCTAAAGGTATAGCCGAAAGCGCTCGGAAATATAGATCATTTGGACAGTTCTTACACACCCTTCGTCCAGAAAAGAAAGCTCTTGTCAAAACACAAGAAAAATTAAATAAAAAGCTCAACCGTAGTACCTTGTCTGTCGTTTTTAATGAAACATGTATAAAGGAAGGATTGCTGCCTAAATATACAAATATATATATCAAAGTCCTTGATTTATATAAGGTATTTGTAGATTTTAAGCGGCACGCATAGTGAATGATGTTCTGCTGTTTGCTAGAATAGAAAGAAAGAATCTAGGCTATGAGAGGCAGGCGAAACGAGCTTAACTGTTTCGTTAAGATTAGTCATTAGACAGTGGGAATGTAGGTCTACCAGGTAGGTTACGGTCACCGAAAATTCAAGAATGAATTTAACCCCCCAAAAGCTATGTATAGTACAACTGGTCACTGAAAATGCATGATTTTTTTGACCTCTTCAAAAAAATGAACCTATGTATAGTGCGCATCCCCATTTTTTACGTAAAAACCTGATAAAAACTCGCACTAGAGTATATACAGTAGATATGTTTTTCTAAAGTGTCATAAGAATGGTCGGTTCAAAAGTTCAAGCAATGCATCAATTTTTGGTGAAAATTAACAAAAAAATGACACAATCTTTTCGCAG